AGTGTCATAGTTTGTAAAATAGGTGTGAGGATCAGGGGCAAATAGGGAGTGGTTGAAATGGATGGCCGATATCCGAATCCATGATCAATGCACACGTTCGTTGGACATTGAAGCCTGAGTAATGTCTAATTCAGTGATCTTGGCTCGTTGGATTTGTCTCGTCGAGCCAGTTCGATTTCGAGTACAAGCTCGTTTAAACATCGGAGACCGTTTGGTAACTCAAATTGTGATTCGAACCTTCCAACAAGCACTTTGGGTCCTTCGATTTGGATCCATTTGGGCTCGGATTGAGTTGAATTTGGTGTCGTTGGATCGTATTTTTGAGAACGCCAGTTTGACTGTAAGCTCGCTGAAATTGGTGTTCGGATGCTTCCAGATTTAATTTTTGAAATTTCAACTCTATTTTTCTCAAGATTCGTGCTGGATCAAGCATATTTTTTGGTAGTATCAGTTGCCCCCTATTATCGGACGTAAAAGCTTATATAAGTCCAAAATATATATAAAGATTCTGTATCCTTTCTGATGCTGCTTTATGACTAATTAATTATGTATTGTAAGTAAAAATGATATTTCTATCGGAACAGTTAGAAAGTATATGTAATAAATATTACAGAAATATATCCTATACTATTTAATATATTATTGAATTAAGACTAGTATTTATGTTATTTCAGAAAAATATATCAACTTAACTTAATAATACTGATCATTATATAATATATATATATATATTATTACTAGTTATATATATATATATATATATATACTATATATATATAATAATATATAATATATTATTATATATATATAGAATAATGATCTATTACGCCCGGTGAATAAAAAATTATAATATGTTATTATGCTTATTAGAGTTATAATATTAAAGGAGGTGCGAACGTTGGAATATCGTGTATATTTTAGGAGATCTCGATAAATATATTGCATTTTAAAACGACGCCTCTTCTTTCAGGCCAGGGAAGCACACTATTTCAAAGCATGGGAAATTATGAGAGGTAATTATAATCTGGATATTAAACACTTATGTGTTTTATTAAATTTAATTTCAGTATGAGATCTCGGGCACTAGGCGGCGATTGTTCGACCCAGGGATTATTTAAAATCCCCCTGGGTCTCGCAGGGTCTTTGCGGCAATTACGAGCTATTATTATATAATATGTGGATCATTGAAGTAATATATTAATTATATTATAAAACTGTTATGAAAAATATAATATATTATAAGCGAGGTTTGATGAGGGATACGTTATTCACGCGGCACTGCACAGCACGTCGATGACTGGTATGTATACTGCACATTTCTCTTCCAGCATAAAATCCACATTATGGTTCCTAGAAATATGTATTTTGCACCCTATAATTACTCATGAATGATGTTGTGCATTATATATAGGTATACAGATTGACTGGGATGTACTTGCTATAACTTCACATTTATAGCCTTAATCACACCAAAGTAAGAAATTAATTTTAGCAAAAATTATACACCTCAAGACCTTCTGGCACCGCCTTTTGAATAGCAAACGCCTTATATTAGATTGAGAAATATTAAGTATAGTTAAAAATCATATATAATTGTAGAATTTTTAAGATTCCAAAAATAACTTTTAATGCTGCCTCCTCTCCCTTGCCTCCTTAAATACGCCCATTGTGGGGGCGGGAAGAGAAGCAAATCTCCTCTGTGTTGGTCCAAAGTATATTGTTTCTTGGATCGACTAACTTGGAGATTTCATGGCGATCAAAGCCTGGTAACTACTTACGCAGGCTCCAAGTTTCACTCCCGTTGGGGGAATAAAAACTGTCCGGCAAGAGTCGTAAATACCAGTGTGCGGCGTCGAAAGCTGGTACTCTTACGCAGGCATCTTCAGTTCACTTCCTAGTGGGAAAACTGTCCGGCAAGAGTTTTTAAATACCGGTGGTACAGTTTTCTCACTGTTGGAGCAAATGTCGTCAGATCAGAGGAGAAGGGTGCTCTGACTGTACGTCAAAAAGGTTGGTTCTGGCTCGTCCAATAGATTAGGAAGACAGAGTTTCAAAAATAACCAAGATGATCTTCCAACGTTGTTTATTTCACATTCCTCTCTTTATTATTTTTCACAGTGGTAATTCTTAAGTAATTTTTTCTTTATTTATGTATGCCCCTCCAGCAAACAGACCGCTAATAATGCCAGATTTCTCCTTCTATTGATAAAGCTGGTTGAGAATGGTGCGAGCCTCGCTCTGGAACTGTGGAGGTCGATTGAGA